AATAAGAAGAAGCAGGTTAGAAGAATGGATAAGTAGAAGCAGAATGGATAAGAATTTGAGGAAGAGAAAAGATTAAAAATCTGATCATAAAGGAAAAATACATAAATAAAATTAGGCAAAATATGAAGAGATTTAAAATGAAAGTCTAAAAGATGTTATAAAATAAAGTAAGTAGTAATAAAACGTAGAGCAAGAAGGAAAAGGAGAGGGTGAAGGAGAAGAAGGAGGAGGAGGAGGTTGTTTTCTGGGTCCTCCAGTATTGAAATCCACTAGTTCTTTGGAGATATGGTTGTGGTTCATGACTGCAGACTACTTTACTTCCTCTGATTTCCCACAGTAGTGGACATTGCTGTATGTAGATTGAGGATGGAATGGTTATAAATCAGTTAGCAGTGTCATATCTCTTTAGAAGCTTCTCTTCTTTGTATACTTTCAAGTGCTGTTAACCCCAGTGAGTGCTTGCATGATAGAATCCCACAGCTCCACAGTTTATGCAAACATCCAAGTTGGGGGTGGGGGGTGGGAGGGGTGGTCCCAGAGTTTTTCAGACAGTGACATAAGCAAACAGAGCTCTGCAAGCTGCACTGGAGTTGGACCACTGGCCCTGATGGAACAGAATCAGGCTGAAATTTTCAGCACTTTCATAGTCTACCCAGCAGTAATCCAACCTGACAAAGGGAGGAAGATGTGGAAATCCAGCCATCTCAGGACCTGGGTTCAGATTTCTAAGACCCCCTATCAGCAAACCTCATGTACCAGGCAGGCAGCTTTCTAGTAATCCATGGATCATAAGCCCTTACCTACCAGAATTCCCTCAATCCAGCAATGACTGACATTGCCCCTTGCAACAGAAGACTGGGAAATAGACCAAGGAACAATTGACAGCCTGAGCTACCAGCAACTTAGCTTCTTAGTGAGTCTGTATCTACCACTTCCCTCCTACAATTGCTGTCTTGGCATTCTTCTTCAGGCATTTTGTGGCAGGGTATCCCAGGCTCCCTATCATAAGATTCCTTGATTCCAGAAAATCATCATCTCTTTCTCTCCTCAGAATATAATCTTTCCTTTGGTACCCTGACTCTCCCCATTCACTAAATCCCGCAGAGGAAACTACCCACAAGCTTAATCTATCTTTAACAATTTAAAGGTTCATTGTTAGAGACCTCTCCATTCAACTGTGAGTGAAGCCTGAGAATAAATAAATGATGTAAATAGTATTTCCAAGGGCATGATTTTGCATGTCCTTCATGGCTTCAAAGCTGGGAACAGGGTACCTGAAAGAGGACAGTCCATCCAATTTAGCTGAAGGGCCATGAATAGTATAGCCCTTTAGGCTGCTTTCACACCCTTCAGAATTTCCTGAATTAAACAAATCATACCCTTCACCATCCGGAGCAAAGCATCCAGGGTTATACTAAAGAAAGCAATATTTTTGAGATAAAATGGAATCATATTGTGAAGGGGGTACCCAGCTTAGAGAAGTAGAATGCAGAGAAGAAAAGGAAGTAGAAGCTTGTGGGGAAGACAGTCTGAATTTCACAATCTTGTAATAGGATGATAAAGGATATTGAGGCACAAGCAGGCACTGACCTGGGAAGAAATACCTAGTCCGTTAATATTCCGATAAAAAACAATTGTAAAAATAAATTGTGAGGTGGATCTAAAAATGTGTTCAGAGTACTACAAGGCATGAAGACTTAGCAATGTAGCGACACAATGGGAAATGAACATGAATTTCAGAGGGAGAAGTTCTGGTATCAACTTGCATTCCTTATCTAAGTGACCCTGGAAAGTCATTTAAACTCCCAGAATAGACTCTACATCTATAAAAAATAGACAGCAGAATCTGTTACAGATTGCCTCAGTGAGACAGTGCCATGGACCAGATGAGAATGTTATCAGTGCTAACAGGGGACTGATATACCAGACACCAAACAGGGGCCAGGAGAATGTCTCAGAAAAACATACAAAGAAATCAATAGTTTAGAATGAACACTTCCAGGAACTGCAAAGGCATCCAAATTCACTGCAAATACCCAGTTCAAAACCTTTCCTACTCATCCAAATCTAGAGCATGAGGAAATATTCTCTACCTGTAATTGCCTTCGCCAACTAGACGTAATTGGTAGCTTAATGAAAGTTGATATCAGGATTTAAGCAGGAGGATACATATCAGCAAAAGGCTGAACAAATTCTCAATACAGAAATACAACATGCCCTTGGATGTTCCCTTTCAGGCAGAGACAGAGACACAAAGACAACTGAAACATCTCTTTTTCCAAAATGATATACTATCTTTTGTAAAGGATCACCATCCCGGGCCATCCAGTGCTCACTGGCATGTACAGATGCTAGAGGAAAAAAAAATCTGTCCTTATCCTCTAAAGCAATAAGACATAAACACTTCACAAGAAGGAAACAACACAGCAGCATGTTAAGTAACACCATAGAAAAATCTCCTACTGTGCAGATGCTACAACCTGACATCCTCAAACACTGCCAACTACCTGTAAGCACAGAGATATAGGCCAGATGGTTCAAGGATGCAGGCAAGACTGACACAAAGTGTCAGGAGAAATATTAATTCAACAGTCTACATCTGCCTGGAGGCATGTGGCAGGAGAAAATAAATATAACTTGCTTTCTGGGGACCTCTGACTTGATCCTCAGCAAACCTTTTAGAAGCCACCTGCAGTAAATCCCACACTTTACCCCACTTTTCTTTTTTTTTTTTTCATTATTCATATGTACATACAAGGCTTGGGTCATTTCTCCCCCCTGCCCCCACCCCCTCCCTTACCACCCACTCCGTCCCCTCCCTCTCCCCCCCACCCCCTCAATTCCCAGCAGAAACTATTTTGCCCTTATTTCTAATTTTGTTGTAGAGAGAGTATAAGCAATAATAGGAAGGAACAAGGGTTTTTGCTGGTTGAGATAAGGATAGCTATACAGGGAATTGACTTACATTAATTTCCTGTGTGTGTGTGTGTTACCTTCTAGGTTAATTCTTTTTGATCTCACCTTTTCTCTAGTTCCTGGTCCCCTTTTCCTATTGGCCTCAGTTGCTTTTAAGGTATCTGCTTTAGTTTCTCTGCGTTAAGGGCAACAAATGCTAGCTAGTTTTTTAGGTGTCTTCCCCTCCCTTGTGTGCTCTCGCTTTTATCATGTGCTCAAAGTCCAATCCCATTGTTGTGTTTGCCCTTGATCTAATGTCCACATATGAGGGAGAACATATGATTTTTGGTCTTTTGGGCCAGGCTAACCTCACTCAGAATGATGTTCTCCAATTCCATCCATTTACCAGCGAATGACAACATTTTGTTCTTCTTTATGGCTGCATAAAATTCCGTTGTGTATAGATACCACATTTTCTTAATCCATTCGTCGGTGGTGGGGCATCTTGGCTGTTTCCATAACTTGGCTGTTGTGAATAGTGCTGCAATATACATGGGTGTGCAGGTGCCTCTGGAGTAACCTGTGTCACAGTCTTTTGGGTATTTCCCCAAGAGTGGTATTGCTGGATCAAATGGTAGATCAATACCCCACTTTTCATCTATTCTTGTAACCTTGCTGTAGCTCTTCAGCTTTCAATGTTTTCTTGGGCAAGAGTCTCCTTAGGAGACTCAGTCTTTTCATCTGTTAGTGAAAATAATGCACTTGTGTCTACCTCACAAAGGATTTTGATAAAGGTCAAACTTCTAGAAATCTCGACACAAAAGAATGGTGGTATGCTACTATTATTTGTTTGAAATTTCTTGAAAAGCATTCAGATTCTGTACAAGTATAACAGTATTGCCTTTTATGTAGCAATCCACTGGGCATTGCATGAGGTGCAGGGTGCAGAGGTGAGAGATCTGAGCAGTGGGTCTCTGCTATGGAGAAGCTGTCCAGCCATGTCAAGGGAGGTCCCAGAAGTTATTCTATAAACTCCACAATGGCATGTCCTCAAATTTATTCTCTTTTCCACTTTCCACATTCTCCAGCAGTATTTCTAACTCTAATTAAATTACCAAGTTTCAAAATAAGTCTTTTCCTTTGCTAAGCATCTCCAGAATAGTGACTGTTTTGTAGGGAATTTAAACATGATACTCACTCCTGTCCCTCATTAACTCTGAATTCAGAGTGGCAAACAAGGAGAGACATCCTATAATAGACTCTTTTAACACTCCTAACCATTAGGACAGTTTTCATTGTCTTTAATGCAGGGCAATGACAAGACTACTTAAAAAGGACCCTGACAACCTGAACAAAGAGAAAGATATATGTCCTGACGTTAAGGAAGAGGAAAGATGTGGTACTGCTCCTCTACCCCACTACCTGTTGGGTCAGCTCCAACCTGTCCTTTGTCTTTCCTCCTTCAAAGTAATGACCATCCATGTTTGTGGAAAAGAGCCACAGAAACTCCAGACTCCTAAAGAACTCTCCATCTCCTTCATCATCATCTTGTGATGTTATAGTTCTGGTCATCAAGTCCTTTGATTTGACTTCCTCTCCAGTGGAATATCCTAGGGCAAACAGTCTTCAGTTTCACAGATATAAGACTTAGATAAACCTTATTTTTCCTGTCATGGTGGCTACAGAATCCTGAAGAGCCAAGTCTCTTATCATTACCAGTCAAGTATCAAAGTAAGTTACAAATACCTATGAAGTAAGGGAATTTCTATGTGCCTGCCATTTCCTTCCTCCAAACACTCATGTCCAAGGCCTAAGGCAAACCAGCTATGTAGGTGGGGGCCTGCATTTCTCTGTTTTCCTTACCTCTGCAGTCTTCTAAGAATCAGCTGATTTCCTTCTCTGCCCTAAAAGTTTTCTTATCACATGTAGATCATCTATGCACAGCATGTCCAAACAGAGCAGAACTAATGAAATTCTCTGGGATGGGAAAGACACAGGTGTGTTTGTACAGGGACAAAACTGACCCTAACCCTACATGCCCTTCTGGCCCTACTGAGAGTTTTAAAAGCAGATTCTTCACATTGCATAATTATTATTCTGCCACCATGCGTGCATTCCTGATCCTGGCCCTTGTGGGAAGTGCTGGTGAGTTCCATGCCTTGCCTGGGCCCTGTCTTCCACTATCCTGGAAATTATGGCTCCTACCATTATTACTGCCTCCCTGAACTCTTGTGTTCAATTTTCCTAGCTAGTGCCTCTGCTTTCCACTCTCCTGGTCTCTCTTCAAATCTCAACTGTCCTGCATTCTCCATGATTCCACTCCAACTACCATCCTTCATCCAAATCAGGGATACAGTCAGCGCAGCTGGAAAGGGAGAGCGTGTGGAGGTGGTCCATGGTGTGAACCATCAGCTTGCCTCCAAACTATAATGCTTGCTTTCATTTGCTCTGGGATAACTCTACCATAGATGTTTCAACCTCAAGTGGAACTACTGAGGTTGAAAACCTTCCTGTCAGAGACCCAACCCTAGAAATTCTGACTTCATGCATCAGGAGGGAAGCCTGTGTGGAGGGTTTTCAAACTGCCCAGATAATTTTAAAATTCCCAGTTATGCAGCCTTAGATAAGAACCACTCTGCTATTGGCCAATAGCAGTAGCAGTATCTTCCTTTGTCCTGCCTAAGTGGACGTGGGAGATGCTCCCTACTCTGGTCACACAGTACACATCTTAGTTACGGGAGCAGCTGGGTACATCCAGATCCACTCAGCCAGGACATTTGCCCATGTATGCCACACTATTCTGAAAGCCTGGGACTAATAAAAGACAAGGGCAATAGATAAGTGATGAATTAACATTCAGAATAATGAAAAAAGCATTTAGTGGGTGAGGCCACCAAATTCTGACCATATCCTACAGAACACATTCTGTGTCCACATGTTATGACCCCAAGAAAAGATTTAAATTCTGCATGGATTCTAGCTAGGGGCTGTGTAGACCCAGGGAAGTGGGACAACTAAAACCTCTGATGCTTATTTCCAAGAAATGATCCCAACTTGTCTACAGTCATTGTGCTCATTAGCAATCCTAATTAGCAGGAAGCAGTCACTGGGCTGAGGGCTCCACTCTCCACATCTTACTGAATTGCCTTCTCCCTTCCTATCTCCACACAAGCTGCCCTCCCTCTTGATGATGATGACAAGATTGTTGGAGGATACACCTGTTCAGAATATTCTGTCCCCTACCAAGTGTCCCTGAACTCTGGCTATCACTTCTGCGGTGGCTCCCTCATCAATGCCCAGTGGGTGGTGTCCGCAGCTCACTGCTACAAGTAGTAAGTCCTGAGCCTCTTGAATGCAGAGTTCACAGTCAGGCCCTGTGGAGGGATGTGGAACACTCCAGGTGAAGGCTGAGGTCTAGAGGTGGATGGGAAAGGCCATGGAGAAGAGATGAAGTTGCTGGCAGTTGGTGACTTCCAAGAACTAAGAGTGAAGAGGGTCACAGAATAAGAAGCCCCTCACACCCCAAACAAACCCACACAACAGCAAAGGTATGGTTCATAAATATAGATAAGCATCACTTTGTTGTGTAAGGACCAGTGAGGAAGGTTGACAAGGAAAATGTACAAGTACAAAACCTGGGTCCTATAGCCAGGTAATGAACTCCAAACTATTAGGAACAAGTTTGAATATTTTGGAATTCTTAAACCTTTCTACTTCTGTTGATTATACTATGTAGACTAAGCTGAGAAGACTTATCTCCAAAAGGGTTCTTAGTCCTGAGTATCTATCAGAAGGGTTGCATAACCAACAGGGCTATAAAAACACGAGTCCCTGGGCTCCAAATCCTAGATTGTGATTCAGTAGGCATGGGTGGGTAGGCATCAAGAAGGTGAATTTCTGACAAGGTCCTATATGATGATGCTGCTGTGGGTCCCAGAGTCACACTTGGACCCCCACTATATTAGATGGCACAGAACAGCAGTGATTACCAGAACAGAAGAGAGAAACAAAGGTACCTGCATGTAATTACCAAATCCACAGAGGACGAGTGGAAATATAATTTGCTCTTTTGTGTCCACAGCCCTGAGTGCAAGAGGGGACATTGAGCAAGTAGTTTGGTCAGCAGTCCCCAACTGAAGTCCTTCACTCATCCCCTCCACACCTTCTACTTATGAGGCAGAAAGGCCGGGCACTCATACCACCACTTACACAATACCTATATGCTGTTCTTATGGTGTTTCCGTGTGCCCCATCACAAGGCTCCAGAGTGACCCATGAGCAGGGAGCATGAAATCCTGGAAGTGTCTTTGAAATGGAGAGATAGCCTCTAATATGCCACCTTTTTCCAACAGCCGCATCCAAGTCAGACTGGGAGAACATGACATAAATGTTGTTGAGGGAAATGAGCAGTTTATCACTGCTTCCAAGGCCATCCGACACCCCAAGTACAGCTCATGGACTCTGGACAATGACATTATGCTGATCAAGCTCTCCTCACCTGCATCCCTTAACTCTCAGGTGGCCCCTGTAGCTCTGCCCAGCTCCTGTGCACCTGCTGGCACTTTGTGCCTCATCTCAGGCTGGGGCAACACCCTCAGCTCTGGTGGTGAGTAGAGCCCTTCCCAACTTCTTCTCTCTCCACTTCCAGAACCAAGCACAAGTCTTGGTTTGAACCCATTTGCTTCCAGCCTGCAAATAGATTTCAAGTGTCCTCTACAAACAAAGGTTTGTAGCAGGTACTAGAGAAATATAAATTTCAAAGACATTGATTCCTACAATCTAAACAGGACTAATATAGAAGGTGATATTATTACTCCCTGGAAGGATAATCACAAATAGCCATTGTGAGAAATAAAACCCACTCTTCCTTGCTGTGTCTTAAGATTTTGGGTTCATACCAGTGGCTGCCCACCATGCTCAGCATTGGATTCCTGTTACCCATTCTGGTATGCTTCATATTTATTCTTTCCTTGATCATTTTTTGCCCTCACAGTTTATAACCCAGACAAGTTGCAGTGTCTAGATGCCCCTGTGCTAAGTCAAGCCGACTGTGAAGCTTCTTACCCTGGAGAGATCACTAACAACATGGTCTGTGTTGGCTTCCTCGAGGGAGGCAAGGATTCCTGCCAGGTGATTTGAGTCTTTCACTTAACACAACACTTGACCATACCCAAGTTCAGGGTGGTGAGGATGGCAGCTCAATACATTGGCTCCACTGAGAAGTGAGGAGTCTCATTTGACTTAATATCGTTTTCTTAGTAAGAACAGAGAATGGGCCACCAGCTGACTAGATTGGGGTATTAAGTTCAGAGTACAAGTGTCTTTTGTCCTCTTCTACTCCTTATTATATAACTTGTTGCTCCTCCTCAGGGTGACTCTGGTGGCCCTGTGGTCTGCAATGGAGAGCTCCAGGGAATTGTTTCCTGGGGCTATGGCTGTGCTCAGCCAGGTAGTCCTGGAGTTTACACAAGGGTGTGCAACTACGTAGACTGGATTCAGGAAACCATTGCTGCCAACTAAAGGCCCCAAGTTCCTCTGCAGTTACTATGCCAATAAAGTGAATGTGTCCTCATTGTCTGTGTCTGTGCCTGCTTTGTCCACCTCCTACATGCTGGGAAAATTCATCCAATCTCAAGGTCGGATAGAATTCTCCCCATGAGACATGAATAGGGTTCCCTAGTTTCCAAAATATATTTCATCAAATACTTCTTTAGCAGCATATGAATAGACAAGAATAATAAGAAGGTAAAATATGGGCAGTTTTCTCAATACTACATATAAGATTTTCTTGACCTTGGAACTTTAGGGTGGTGTGAAGGTGCTAATGAGTGCATATGTTGGTGTTGTTTACATGACCATTGCCTTCTTTGACTGTGAAAGTATCCTCTTTGTATCCAGAGCAAACAAATTGAGGGAGAGATCATCACTGACCACTTCAACTTCTTCTGAGTTCCCCTCATACACTTATTCTTGCTAACCTTGTTGTCCTCCCTCTTAGCAGCAGGTATTCTACTTAGAGAAGAACTCACTAGCCATTTCTCAACAATCTGCTCATGTGTCTGCAGGGGACATAAGGACTTTCTGTGTCTCTACTCACTATGCTTCTAAGGAATTTACCTTTTCTTCTTTCCACATAATCAAAATAAGTATTAACTTTCCTGAGAACTTTATAGGCATTTCACACTCTTCCTTCTGGAATGGTTATTTTTCCAGTGTTAGAGATAGAAAGCAGAGGTTCAGAGAAGGTTATTAGTTTACGTATCCCATATAGAAGATGGTCAATATGGGAATTGTCTCCTTATTTGTCTGTAGGTTCTCTTCCTGAACTCTAATTCTCTCTTGATACTACTATGGTCTTAGATGACAATTTTATTTAAAACTTGTCTTCCTAGAAGCTGTGAAGCAACATAGTTAGGAACCTGAACTCTGTCAACTGACTGTCCAACTGTAAAACCTGATTCTACTTTTTTAGACAAGCTGTACAATTTCTTTGGGGGTAAGGATGGTGCACTGGGAATTGAACACATAGTCTTGGGTTTGCTAGGCAAATGCTTTAAGACTTTGGACATACCACCATACCCTTTGTTTGCATTTTGTTTTTGAGATATGGTCTTTCTAACTTTGCCCCCCTCCAAAAAAAAAAAAGCAAGTGAAAAGAAAAATAAATGGCAAAGAAATAGTTAAATGCTGAAATACAGAATTATTTACTTTTAAAAACAAATGGTTGTATGTGATGATTTATTCTTTTACCTTCCAAATAGTGGGTATTACAAACTTGGTTCATCAAATTTGGCAAATTATAAGATTTTTTTATGTCTTAGTTCCTCACATAAAAGATGAGAATAATGATGTATTTAAATGAGGGTTTATTAGAAAACTTAGGTAGAATTATTTATATAAAGTGCATTGCATTGTTCCAGGTAGAGATAAACCAAATAATGTAGTTAATATATTATTTCTCACTGTAATACCTGATATTTTGCCATTATTGGTTTTCAAGTTTAAGATTACCCTCCATTAGACAATTTTAGTTATTATGAAAGCTGTTTCTCTTGTTTTTTGTGATCTTATTTACATAAAATATTTAACTGTAAAATATGCGGATTTAAAATGAAGAAAATTTAAATCACTCAGTTGTAATAAACTTAGATGAAATTATATATATGGCTTGGGAATTTATTAGTCCAGTGGTAGTTTATGAATATCATTTAATGTCAAAATATATTTTATTAACTTTTATAAAAATATTTTAATGTATTGATGACCATCTTTCATATTATCAATTTTTACAACCAAAAATGCAATGACAAAGTCATGTGTGATGTTGTATACCTGAAATTCCATCACTGGGGAGGCAGGCGGATCATGAATTGGAGGACAGTTTGAGCTACATGTATAGTTCCAGACCACTCTGGGCTATGTAGAGAGACCCCGTCTCACAAAAAAAAGAAAAATAAATGGCAAGGACATATCTACATGCTGAAATACAGAGTTATTTACTTTTTAAAATAAATGGTAGTATGTGACGATTTATTTGTGTTACAGACTCAAGGGAATGAAGAAGACCCTCCTAATCCCATCTTCACATGGCTCCTTCTTATTCAGGTTTTAACTCAAATGTCATCTCCCCAAAGGGAATTTTCTTGAACACAATACCTGCCCTTCTTACCATACTACCACTCTATCCAGTTTTAATAACATCTAATCACTACTTTTGAAATAAAGTATATGTGTGTACATACATATCTATATAGAAGAATTTTATCAACATTTTATTAGCATGTATTAGTTATATAGGGGGATTCATTTGATATTTATCCTTACAATGTATCTTGATTAGATACAACACCTCCATCTTTTCCCTTATTCCTTCTTCCCTCCTCCTCAAAAAAATCTCAACCAGTTTCATTGTTCTATTTTCATAAAAGTATATAAAGTACTTCTACCATATTTACCCTTCTTTACTGTCTGTGTTCACCCATCCCCTCTCCCACTAGTCCCTAATCCTGAACAGGACTTGTTTTAAATTCCAGTTCTTTACTTTTTAAATATATATTAATTGTTCAAAGGGGCTTCACCATAATTTTTCACACATGCTTATACTGTATTTTAATCAAATTAAACCCTCTCTACTGCTCTCTTTTTCTATCTCCCCTATTACCCTATTATTCAATGGCATCCAGGTGTATACATAAATGCCAAGAAAGCAAGGATCTTTACTATCTTCCTTATTGATGTTTTCATACAATCTACAATTTTTGGAGCTACCAAAAGTTTTTTAGTTTTAGAGTATTTAAGTAAATAAACCTGAATTATAAAAGGGAAAATTTGGAGGGGATTCCAGGATGGTGAATAGAAGCACCAAAACCTCATTAGCTTCTCAAGGGATAGAATCAAAGCAGCAGAAGGACACTTACTCTTCAAGTTGGCAGATAGTGGGAAGAAACCATAGATTTGTAGGTTTGATGTCTTAAATGTATCCCAGAGGGCTTGAACAGTGTGTTCATGCATATATTTTTTCTTTATTGCTAATATTGGAATCCACCAGTTTTTTTGTGGGGGAGGTTGTGGGTCATGCCTGAAGTATATTGTACTTCCTCTAAGTTCCCACATCAATTGTTGGTGATGTTTGTGAGCTGAGGGCAGGGTGGTCAAGTGTCAGTTGTTAGTGTCAGGGTAGCATTCACTTTCAAAGATTTCATTCTTTACATACCTGGAACCACTGATGACCATTGAGCTTTACAACCTGCATGCCAGGTAAATTCCCTCTGGTTCTACAGGTCTCCAAGTTTGTGCCCTGAGGATGGCAAACATACAAGCCAAAGGCTGTCCCCCAAGTTTGTCAGAGAGTTGTGGAAGCAAAGAGAGCTCTGAGTTAGGAGCTGGAGGGGGACATCTGATGGAACGAAGACTGAACTTTCAGAGCACATTCAGTAACAAACCAACTTTTAGGAGGAATGAGGCAGTGGAAATCCAGCCACCTACAAGACCTGGACACAGAGGTCTCAGTTCCCCCATTAGCAACCACACCCATTAGGGATACAGCTCTAGAAGTTGATCAATTCATGGATCATAACCTCAGAGTTCTCAGTCTCCCTGTAAGAGACTGGCTCAAATCTTACCACAGAGGGTTGAGCCATAGGCTACCATATCCTCCACAGCCTGAGATGTACACTGCTTAGACTTTTCCTTGGATCTGCATCCCACCTATCCCTCTAAATGACTTCCTCTCTTGGATATCTCCCACAGTGACTGTGGCAGGGTGTCCACTGGGCTCCTGTCTTGTGACTGCTCCTTGTTCTTACATCCACATAGTAGCTCAGTCTCAAGCAGTAGGACCCAAATCCAGATGAGACTTGTGTATTACACTGTGTGATATGGTAGCAACACAAAGAGTTTCTTCTTAATGCTTGCAGGTGTCAATGTCAGACCAAAGTTCCCCGGTGGATTTAAAGCTTATAAGAATGAATGTTTCTCCTGAAATGGAGACTGCTAGTCTGTTGTCACCAGGGCTGCCTGAGCACTCCACACTAACTTTGTGGTTTTGAATGAAATTCAAAAGCTGTTCTGGTATCATCCCCCCATTTCATACCCAAGTGACTTGGAAAAGTGACATAACTTCTGAGCTTTAGATTTATTATTTATAAAATGAAACAGCAGTATTTGGTAAAGGTGATTGGTGTGGTAGCTGTGGTCTATTTCCTGCTTTCTGTTTCAACTTTCTTACACTCAATGCTTTTTAGTTGTCCTCTCTCCACTTTCTTGATTTCTTATGCTCTTCCACTCTTTGTCTCCTGAGAATATGCTCTTTCCTTTGTTACCATTCACTGATTTCCATGTAGAAAACTTTTAATCTGCCATCTTACCCTGAAACTTTACTCTGTTTCTACAAACTTCAAGGCTTGTTGCTAGAAAATTCTCCATTTAAGTCTTGATGTTTAATGAATCCTAAGAATAAATGAATTATACAAATGGCACTTCCAGGGGCATGATATTAGCATGTACTTCATAGCTTTGAAGTGGGAAGCAGGAGTAAGTGAAGAAGGATGAGGGTTTACTCCAATTACTTTATCAGCCATGAACAGCCTAGCCTCTCTGTGTCTCATTCTTCAAATTTTCCTAGATCATACAAAGGATTCCTTTCATTATCCAGATTCAGTGAATCCAAGGTGATATATTCATGAAAGTAATTTATTATTGGATAAAGTGAAATTGTACATTGGAGTGAGTATGTAGCTTAAAAAAATAATGGAAGAAAGAAAGGGGGCTGGAAGTTTGTGGGGAAGACAGGCTGGAATTTCATAATCTAACAAAGAAGTGATAAAGGAAACTGAGGCCAGCCATGAGATAACTAAGAGCTAGGAAGAAATGCCTCAGCTGTGGGCATTTGTGTAAGAAAGAGTAATAATAAGAAAATAGTAAGGTGGATCTAAAAAATCTGCAAACTACTGCACAGACAGAAAGACTCCACTATTCAGCAACAAGATGGAAAATGAACATGGTTTTCAGGTTATGCTATC